TTTTTTGGCAGAACCAGGGATTAAACTCAGGCCCTTGTGCTTGCCAGAGAAGTGCTTATTCCACCGAGCCATCTCCCTGGCCCCCCAGGGCAGTTTCTTTAAAAATTTTTTTCTTCCCTTTCAGACCTCTCAAGAGTTTGTTTTGTTTTGCTTTTTTTGTTTGGTGGTTGGTTGGTTCTGAGACAGGGTCTTGCTATGTAGTCCAGGCTGGCTTTAAACTCAGCATGTGCCTATTAATCAGCTTTGAAACTGTCTCATTCATATTTATTTCTCAATTAAAAAATAAATAAATAAAAATAAATTTAAAAAAAACTTAAAAATCAGTTCTGACACCATATGAGGACAAAATGAGGTAGTGCAGGCCCCCTAACAGATCCTCTGTTAAACTCACTGAGCCCTCACTGACTACACCAGAAGTAACCCAACCAGACTGTACCCAGCTGGACACCCTGCACTTTCCAGCACACACACACACACACACACACACACACCCTGTTTGCTAATTTGTTTCAAGGAATTTGTACCAAGCAACCCAGAATAACTGATGCTATTCAATAAAAAAAAATTCACCACCCTTTTTAAAAAAAAAGAAAAGAAAAAATAAACCTAGCATGTGGCCCAGGGTGGCCTTGAACTCATGGTGATCCTCTTACTTTAGCCTCAAGTGTGGAATTACAGATGTGCACCACCACACCCAGCTTGTAACACTTGTTGACCCTGGTATATAGAGTTATTCTTAAGTCTCACTGAAAAATGGATTCTATGGAGGAAGTGTCCCTCACATTTTAGGCAGGCTAACTGCCTTTGAAAACCAGAATCTTCATTAAATAGATGGCTCAATAACCTTAAAATTATATTTCAATAATAGAGAAAACGTCAAAAAACATCTAATGTTACCATTCCACTTTCCAGCTAATAGAAACATTACAAGTTGAAATGAAGAAAGAAAATGACATTTCTAATTTAGTCTCTTAGAGCACCTGGGTTCCAGCCCCTCTGTGTCACTGTAGTAAACAGAGGAAGAAAGTGGGTGGATCTGGAAGATTCTTTCAGCTTAGCCAGCCCAGGGCTTTCACAACTGCTTACTGCTAATGGGAAGGGGAATTTGACTTGTGAGATGGCTGCTGTGTAAGTTAGAAAAGATTTTCAGAAACATTCCTGTAGGCACATGTTTGGGACATAAGGAAGGACAGGGTAGGAGAGATAGCTCGGCAGATCAAGCGCCTGCTCAGGCAAGCCCAGGGACTGGGGTTTGACACCCCCTCCCCCGCACTACATGCCCTGCCAGCCCCACCCCCAGGCATGCTGAGCCAACCACCAGGACTGAACGTGGTGGCACATGCCTATAATCCCAGCACTGGCTGGTGGGGCTGATCACCCCAAGTAGATAGTAGGAGGATCACTATGAGTCTGGGCTTCGTAGTGAGACCCTGTCCAAATACATAAAAAGAAAAATAGACAAATGCAAATGACCCTCACTTTAGGCAAATCTGAGTGCATGGGAGGTTGGTTCAACAAAAAATAACAATAAGAAGATCAATTTTGCCTTTAATTAAAAATTACATGCTGAACAAAGTCACCACTGTACACAGTTCCAAACCAGCACTGTCCCATGGAAATATGTTGATCACATATGTAACTTAAAATTTTCTAGTAGCTTGCATTTTTAAAATGTTAAAGAAGAATTCAACAGTATGTCTTACTTAACATATCCAGCACACTATCATTTTAACACACAATCAGTATAAAGATTGCATGGCCGGGGAGTTAGCTCAGTGGCATAAGAGCCTGCCTAGTATAAAGATAGCTGAGGGCTAGGGAGATGGCTCAGTGGAATAAGCACTTCTCTGGCAAGCGCAAGGGCCTGAGTTCAATCCCTGGTTCCACCAAAAAAAAAAAAAAAAAAAGGCCTGTTTTTGGGGCTGGTGAGATGGCTCAGTGGTCTAAAGCACCTACTTAGAACAAGCTTAGCAAAGCATGGGGACCGCGGTTCAATCCCCCAGCACCACATGCCGCCAGCCCTGCCCCTGGTGGGCTGAACGGGCCACACACACACACACACACACACACAAACAAATTAAAAAATTTCAAAAAAAAAGATTGCTGAGGCATTATTATATTTCCTTTCATATGAATTATCTGACAGCTTGCGTGCATTTTGCTAGTGAGCAACTCTCATTACAGATCAGCCACATGTCATCTCAACAGCCACATGTGAACAATATAGTGAGAACATTTGAAAAATTAAATTTTGCTGGTAAGCAAATGAAAAGTTTGGGATGGTTTGCACTGAATTCATGACTATGGTTACTGTCAAAAAGGAGAGAAACGTGCTGGAGAAAGGAGCATGGTGGCTCTCAACTGAAAGAGAGATGACTTATTTCATCAGAAGACATCTGAAGAAAATACAGTATTAGGCTTCCACTTCATAAAACCGTAAGTGGTATATTCTATTTTCAAATTCAAATTTGGAATGTCTTCCTTTAAAATAAGTGATGCAAATACCCCTCGCTGATTTCACAACTTGGTGGGTGAACTGAAGCAAAGTTCATCTTACACCTTGTTAA